TTCCGATCTTTATTTCTTATCTAAGGAACAACTTTATTTAGGTGTTAAAGTAATGGAAAAAATTCAAACGGATAGTTTTATAAAGGAACGTCCTGACTTAATTTTCCATTTCAAAGATTGCTGTTTGCATTTTTTGAAAACTTTATGTATCCAAATTAAAAAAAGATATGACTTTGAAGATTCATGTTTTAAAAATCTAGACATTTTATGTCCAAAAAATGCTCAATTATATGTAATTTTAAAAATCTTTTCTAGTGAGACTAACTATAAGTAAAAATTATATTGTAATTAATCAAAAAATAACATTTATAATTTAAATATAAATAAATATTTTAAAATATTCAATACTGTACGTAATTCTTTTAAAAGAATATATTTAATCAAAACGAATAATTTAAATATCTACACATATATTTAGAATATTTAGATCCAAATTTTAATTTTGACGAATGCGCCAGTTAAAAATAAATTGTACGATAATTTTAATCAAAATACGATAATTTTTTGCTGTTGGTACGATATTTAATAAGGTTGGCAACGCTGATTAAGGGTCTCTACTCATTGCTGGTCCCAGCTAAATCGCGGGCATGACCGCTCTCAGAATCCTCTCTGGTTATACTGTGGTGATATTAATAATTTATGGTGACGGCTATGAGATTGGAGAACATGGAGTGATTGTTTTGTTCATTCGTCAATTTTTATTTAATACAGGTTAAAAAATTTAGGATATAATAAACAACAAAAAAATATTAAGTCTCATTGAAGTAATTTATTTAAAAATTATTTGATATTACAATAATGAATTTTTGTTATAGATCTTTGTATTATATTTTTTCTTTATATTTTTTCTTTCAAGTATATTTTTCGATTATTTATTTATAATAAACGTAGTTTGTGTAGTACTACGCAAGTTTTTAATACTTAATTCATTGCTTCTCTGATGATAATTTTCATGCAAATTTCAAACAGATCACATTCAATTTGAAGTATGCACTATGCACATGGAAATGTACTACCACGGATTAAAAAATATCAAGGCATTGACATTGTATTGAAAAATTAATCTCTGTTCGAAACTGTGCACATTCTGTTCCAATTGAATCGTACATAACGCTACACTTTGTGCATTCCTGTGTGCGTTTGTGTTAAAATGTGTTAAGCAATTAGAAAGCAGTTTTTCGCGGAGTGTACCTACAAGTTATACTGTGATACCTGTACGAAAACTCAGTTTTTTGCTGAGTGTACCTACTGGTTATACTGTGATCTATGGTGTATGTATTACGTATATGAAGGTTGGTAACATCGCGTAAGTAATTCAACTAGGCGGATTTTTAAAAATCCTTATATCTACATATAATGGTAGCGCGAGATCCAGTTGCTCGCAGTTGACGCAGTTCTCCACTAGTCGCGTCGGAAAACGGTTCACTGCAATTGACTGCATTCCTGCGGCCTGCCGCGCGTTTTCGTGAAGAAGACAGAAAGCACGCTGGAGTGAGTAAAGTGATGATCAATCGCGCCGATCCGTTCATCGGCCT